CTTAACTTTAGTTAACGGAAGTAGGTCGAACCCTAACCGTAACCGTACCTACTAACCTAACCTACTACTACTTACGTACACCGACCGTACCCTACCCTCCCTCCCTCCCTCCCTCTCTCTCTCTCTCTCTCTCTCTCTCTCCCCCACCCTCCCCCCTCCCATGTCTCCTTTCTTTCATCTGTCTCTCTAGCTCTAGTTAGGTGGGCACGCTGCACCTTGACCTGCCTATTGTGCCACCTAGGTGAGTCATCGAGAGGCACGCCCAGCCCATAAGAGGGGTGGTGCCACATTGTGGCATGCCCCACCAATAGAATCTTTATAAAGGGTTGTAAAGAAACCCTAGTTGCTTTTTAGAGTGTTGAAAAGAAACCCTAGGGTTATCGTGGTTATGCTCTCAGCCCCAGTTTGAGTTAGGGTTTTCCATAGATGCTCATCTTGTAGAAGATTCAACAAGGACCATTGGATTAGTGCATTATTGACTTGGTAATCGGGAGTGTGGTGATAAGTCCTACGGAGGTGATCCTAGGCTCAGTTTTTCAAGTTTCTTCCCATTTTATTGGTACTTTTTGTTCTTCATTCGTATTTTATTGTTATTTGTAATTCATTATTTTTTATGAGTAAAGTTTATTTTTAAGGAAGTAAGAGTTCGATCATTATAGAAGGTTTTTTTTTTTCTGATTTTGCGTTGTAATTGGCTCTTGTAAGTAGAATTTGCCTGTATAATAAAAGAAAAAGAGAGACTGTTTTGAATTCATACACTGTGCAACTCTACATAGCCCACTGTTTTAGTTAGTTGATCTTTTCCCTCGAGGTTGTACCCTCTAGAAATCAAGTACCTTTGAAAGTGTTGGGACCGGAACTTTAGTGATCTAAGAGCAAACCTAGACTCTATCATTGCACAAACTCTGGTTAAGAAAGTTTTTGAGGCATTGAGGAGTGCGCTTCTTAATACTAGTCCTAAGATGCAGCAGATTATGCTTTCTCGAGTTGCACTATACCTGAACTTATGTGGTGGTTCATTCCATGGTAAGCAAGTCTGCGTTTAAAACACAATTTTTTTCAAAAGACCTTCAAAAATTAACTTTTTTTAATGAAACCAATATAAATCTGTATTTTATCTTTCTTCAAAAAAAAAATCAAAAAAACTTTTTCCCTATAACTTTATTTTTCATTAACTTAATATTATTGAATTTAGGTTTAAAGCTAAGAATCTTGATTTAGCAAAACTTTCCATTCAAAATTTCAACAATAAGTTCCCTTAAAAGAAGTGTACAAAAAAATGCAAGTAATATATTCCCCAAAAAATATGATATCGTAACAATCGTATATCTCAAAATAATAGGTAGAGTTAGAAGAAGAGTAACCCAATGAAAATGTTTTTTTTTGTTAAAACCCGGAGAGACCTTGTAAAATGCAAGAGAGAAATTCAATGATGCTAAAGATTTAGGCAGATTGGGAATTGAGTGTGAGATTTGAATTTGCTCAAGAATTTATACATAGAGAAATTTGATTAATTTCATATTGTTATATTTTATACAACATAGCATTTTGGATGGACCACTATGTTACATATTTGGGTCTTTTTTTTTTGTTTTAGTTAACTACAATCTTTTACTGAGGGTCTTTTTTGTCTTTTTCTTTGAACAATAATCCTATACCTTGGTTTACTGTTCTTGTTATTTACGAATGTGTTCTTGTGTTTAGTGTTATTGTTATTGTTTCATTTTATACTCCCAATAAATTTATGATATGTTTTGTGTTGCGACAATATAATATGCATTGTTATTGGATTTATCGAAAATTTAGACAATAAATTATCAAGTATTACTCTAATGACACTATGTAAGGCTATAAAATTATTGTTCAATGGCTTTAATGCATCTATACAATAACTGCAAATCATAATTTTGTATTTTGTCATCTTTACATATCTGCCTTTTTTTCACTCTGTTTTTTTGAGCCAAATCCAAAATATTCACGATTCTATAACTGGCCTTTTTTTTTTGCGATTCGTATTTTTGAGCCGATTTCTTCCTCCGTCTTTTTTAAATAAAACGTATTTATTAACAATGTTTTGGTGCACCAATAGCTTATTATTCCCCTACTTGCTAACTATGGTTCACCCTTTGCATCGTATTCTTGGTCCAGTTTATTACTGTCCTTTTGTTTTTAAGCTAATTTTCAGAACTTTGCACCATATTAATTTTAGTGCGTAAAGGTTTGAGAAATTAAGAAAATAAGCTTATATGGGGCAGAGTGTGCTCTAGCTCCATAGACTTAATTTTCATCTAAATTAGGTATGTTCACTTATCATTTTGTATTTTCTTTTCTTAAATTTTTTTGATGAAAAAAATCATTTATTTATGGTGTGTTATCTAGATTTTCTCATTGTTTTATAATTATTTCGAATTTTGTGTCTTTATTTTGCAGATTATCAGAAAAAATTCGTTTTTAAATAAAATTTTAATGTTATAACATGGAAATTGAATTTTTTTCTTTGTTTTAATCTAATAGCATGAATGTATGGAGCAATATATTATAATAATACATCATAATACAAATCTTGTAATTTGAATTTTTGTTCTAATTATCTATTTTTACAGGTTAATATTCTTTGATAATATGAAATTCTGGTTTTCGTGTGCTTTAGTATGTGATTTTTTTGCATTCGCTTCCATACTTTCCTGTTGTTTATGATTGGATTTTTCTCCTAATACACTTGGTGCACAGATCATGCCTTTCATGATTGTAGGATGCAGTCTAGGGCTTCATTTCTGATAGTTTAATTAGCTGATTTATGACCTCTGAACTGGATTGAACTCTAACATGCGAAGGTGACTGCTTCATTAAAAATCGATCGGTTCCATGGCAGTATACCTTTATGAGAAAGCACGTTAATGGTTTCATGTTTGCATGACTTGAGTTAATATATTGCATAAAGATATTTGATTGTGCACTCTATTTTTTTTTTTTTTTTTTTAATGATGTGAATGTAATGATCAACAGACATCTAGATAGGGAAACAACATCTCAATATTCACGTATTTTTGCAAAATAATGAAAGTACATAATGCAATACCCCCAATTTTTTGGTAACTCAAAAAACACTATTTTTAGGGATTTTTAGTGATGTTTGAATTTTTTTGACACCGAAAGCGGCCAATCTGAGCGATTCTCCGGTCCTGATCACCGATCTACTGATCCGACCCGGTTTTTGAGGTGGCCATTCTAGGTCACAGATCCATTTTTAAAAATACTGAGTTATGAGTTTTCTATAATTATTGTCTGCATGGATTTACATGTATGTCATAGTATTATTAATAGTTTAGAGCTCTAGTTGTTGAGGTGGGAGTGCGTGTGGAGGGTTGTTGCTTGCTAAGACTTCGTCCTTTGGGAGTGGCATGATGGTACCCTAACAATAAATATATAGCATTCGATAATTTTTTAAGTATAAAAGATTAATGTATTTAACCATACTTGAAATGCATTTACTCAAATAAAATTCGGTAGAGTAATAACTCATATTTACTTATAAGTCATCTCATATAATAGCTCTTCAGAATACATTAAAGATCTCTAATTGATATTCCATAATAATTAATTCTAAGGGATATTATTGCAGTCAAAATATACATATCCCTTTCCTTTACATTATCCTTTTCCTTTTTAATTTAACCGCAAAAATGACCTAAAGCATGAGAGAGAGAGAGAGAGAGAGAGAGAGAGAGAGAGAGTGAGAGAGAGAGAGAGAGAGTA